TGAGCGATTACGTAGAACCACAGACAGAACGCAAATGGGCTAACAGCGAGCGCTCATCAGAACTCAGATGCTGCCGCTTTCCGGGTAGGAGATCTCGGACAAGTTCGATACTCTCTGAGCCTCACTTTCTGCATCTGTAAGATGGGCTTTTTAACAAACTCTACCCAGTTAGGTTCATCTGAAAATTCCCCCCCAAAATCATCTTCATAAATCACTCAGCAGAGTGTCTGAATAATCCAGTAATTACTCAAGAGATTAGCTGTTGTGACTGACCAAGGTATATCCTAGAGCACGTTGAACCACCAGGAGGAAAACAGCATCAAATCGTTTTACCACTGGGCCAAGGTTCTCTTAGCGGTATTCCGTGGTCTTAAGCATGCTTGAAAATTGATTGAGCTCTTGCTATGTCCAAAGGAGCATACTATGTGCTGGAGAGAAATGGAAGCCAGATAGAAAAATACAGTGTGGCCCCTAGAGGAACTTAGAACAGGAGACGTATAGTTTCAATATCATTTTAGGATGTCACCCCCATAACAGGTTGGAAAATGGACACACAAAAGATAACGATGACTAAATCCCTTGAACCTCCGAATGTCACCTTATCTGGGGGGGAATAAAGGAAAGGGATCTTTGCAGATGTGATTGAGTAAGAAGGAAGACGGTGTGGTCCCTCAGTGTGAGAGGGTCCTTCTAAAGGGAGGCGGTGAGGGAGCCTGGGTGGCTCAGTCATTAAGTGTCTGCCTTCAGCTCAGATCATGATCCGAGAGTTGTGGGATCGAGCCCTACATCAGGCTCCCTGCTCAGCGGGATGCCTGCTTCTCCCTCTCCCACTCCCCTTGCTTGAGTTCCCTCTCTTGCTGTGTCTCTGTCAAATAAATAAATAAAATCTTCTTTAAAAATTTTTTTAAAACAAAGGGAGGTGGTGGGGGAGCAGATAATGATGTGAGGACAGAGCAGAGAGACCAGAAGCCGCCAGCCTGCACGATGGTAGGGATGCCTCCAAGATGCGAGGTCTGCAGGCAGCTGGCCACCAGAACCTGGAAGAGGTGAAACACGATGCTCTCCGGAACCTTCTGCTGACACCTTGATTTCAGCCCAGGGAGACTGATTGTGGACTTCTGGCCTCCAGAACCATGAGAGAATAAGTTTCTGTTGCTTTAAGCCACCATATATATGGTAATTTGTGGATGGATGGATGGATGGATGGATGGATGGATGGATGGATGGAAGGAAAGATGGATGGACGGATGGATGGACAGAAGGATGGATGGGTGGATGAATGGACAGACAGATAGGGGGTGGGTGGATGGATGGAAGGATGGATGGATCGATGGATAGAAGGATGGAAGGATAGAAGGATGGATGGATGGATAGATGGGCAGATGGGGGGTGGGTGGATGGATGGATGGACAGACTGATGAACAAAAGGAAGGATGGATGGATGACTGGCTGAATAAGTGAATGAGTAGCTAAATGGATAGATGAGACAGAAATAAAGGTAGTATAAGCTTCTGCAACCGGGTATTTTGGGAGTTTTTTCATTTTTTCTCAGTTTTCAGAATGGAACTAAATTAAATAGATCCTCATCCTTGGAATTCTATCTTTCAATGCATAGAAGAATCTTTTATGAAATTGTATGTGTTATTTAGCTTTATTCAGAGAAAATGAAAGTTAATGACACCCTTGTTCCCTAGCTCTTTCATGGTGACACTGTTGAAATGTAAGCAATAAAGTCTCCCTTTCTCTCTCTGTCTCTCTGTCTCTCTCTGTCTCTCTCTGTCTCTCACACACACCAACGAGCTCCCTCCTAGATACCCCCTGCTCCCGGAAAGCCTGGACAAGGTACCCCCGAAAACCCAAGCTCCTTCTAGTCCAGAGCTGTACCAGACTTTCCCTGGACATATACCCTCCAGAGAGCTGGAGCCCTGCCACCTTCTCTTCTGACCTTAATGGAAGCCAGACACACAGAAACACACTCGGCAGGAAGATACGCTAAAAAAGCCACAGCTCAGAACCTCGCCATCTTTGGCCGGGTGCAGGCAGAGCACTTTCCAGCACAGCTATGAGACAGGGTCCTTCTCGGTGCAACAGCTCCTCTCCCAGGATCCCCGGGGGCTCTGAGGACCCACTCCTCACTGGCATTTGCAGAGTTAACCCTGCAGGATACAGACAAAGGTCATGACAAACAGCCTCAGGGTGACAACCTTCTTGACCTTGTGCATGAAGACTGCCTGCTCTCTGCCCACATCCAGCGTTCTTATCCGTCTGCCTCGCCAGCTCCCGCTTCCCATCCTCCCGCCCTTCCCTCCAAAATGAACAGCAATGCCTAAAAACCCATCTGCAGGCTGGCCCAGTTCTGCTCGACACCAAGTTCCCAACAAGAGGGGTGTCTGGGGGGCATCTGCCTTCAGCTCAGGTCAGTCTGGGGTCCTGGGATGGAGCACCCGTGTTGGGCTCCCCACTGAGTGGGGGGAATCTGCTTCTCCCTCTGCCCCTCCCCCTTAGCCTTGCGCTTTCACTCTCTCTCTCTCTCCTCTCTCTCAATAAAATCTTAAAAAAAATTTTTTTTTACATCAAAAAAATTAAGGTTCCCGACAAGACTAGACCCTACACAGAAGACAAGCTCTCTGGCAATCTGACGTTAAGGCCATTCTCCAGAAAAGGCTGGGATCGTAGGACTGTGTTGCTAGGAACTTTCTGATTTCATAATACCGTCTCTAGGTCCCTGTGGATAGAAGTACAAGCAATGAAGATTTCTTTTTATTTGTTTTTCAAAAGATCTATATAAGAGTGGGTTTGCTCTGTGACCCATCACTTCCTGCTCATGAAATGTAAACATATGTGCGGTTCAAGGAAATCAGCCTGGAATTAAAATGTGCATTTCTGTTCATTCAGGGTTTCCTATTTGGAAGGAACAAAAGCAACACAGTAAAAACAGTAAGACGCTAAAGCAGACGTTTAATATTTGGAAATCATCTCAATTTTTCCATCAGCCCCAGACCAACTGGGCACTCTGGATTACCGTTGCGTGTGTGTGTGTGTGTGTGCACGCGTGTTTGTGCATTTGGCTTCCAATGAAAATCCTTTTAAATATAGTCCATACTTGATGTCAAGCCGGTTTAAAACTTTCCGGGGGGGGGGGGCGGTGTCAGAGAATCTTAGAGGGAAAGGGGATGCGAACGCAGAGAAAACAGAAGCAACCATCCCTGCATGTAGAAATCACAGCACCACGGCATTAGAAGGGTCAAACTTTTTCCTGCTCTCGGGTGCAGCCTGAAGGATCACGGGCAGACCCCGGCTCGGCCCCGAGCTTGCTCTGTCCGAAAATCCACACACAACTGATTCACTTCCCAACAGTGGGGCTGAGTTAAGGTCTCTCCACATTTAACACGCACAATCTGTCACATGCCGGGCTGGGAGCATCACATACGACCTGGGACCTCCACATCACAGAGGCCCCTGTTTTAAGGACATTTTCAGGATTTCTACTTGAAAAAGTTCAAGCATCATGAGTAATAACAGTTTTCTTCCACACTGCTCAGCCTAATAAAGAAATCAGTAACAGAACTATGTGCCTACCCGAGGAGACACGACAGTGAGGTCACAGTTACCAAGCTATTCTGTGGCTTTCTTAATAAAACCTTGTTACTGCAGCACGAAAACAGAGAAGCCTGCTCCTATTAGAAAATCAAGTGACAACCAATAAAAAGCATGCTTTCCAGCCAATATGCAAGTGTGGTGGGCTGCTGTGAGAGGATTAGGGGTTTTTTAAACCTCATGTCTGCCTGGGTTGGATCCACTGAATCCATCACCCCTTTCTTTGCTTCCTTGTGCACACCATAAATCCCAGAGGCTCTGATCCTCGGGACTGCTCCTGCTAATTAGGAGCCGGGAACCCACGAGCACATGCTCCAGAAGACTCCAGAAGCACAGTGACACCGACCCTGCCAGGCAAAGGTCTTCCTCTAGCGTCAGATCCCCTGCGCCTTAACCTCCGTGATTCCGGACGAGCTCATAGAAGAGCATTCCTGTGATTAAAAGACCCTGTGCACCATCAGTGGCTTTGAAGTTTCTGAGAGAGATCTCAGCTCCAAAATGTCATCAGACAAGTCTGTTCACAGGGATTTGGGGGCACACACTGGAGGCTGGTAAGAACCCCCACTTTCCTCCTCAAAGATTTCCCCGTAGGAAGGACGAGCTGGCAGGGAACCATGCACAAATAGAGTCCCGATCAATAAGCAGAAAGAATTGCTGGTACTTTCTACCATCTCCTGCATGAATCCCATAATTTCTCTTCAAGGAATTAGCGTCCTGAGCTTCCAGCCGGGCTGTGCCAGGGACAGGCTCGGGGTGCCGGCGGCGGAGGGGGTAGGGGGAGGGACACGGGGAATGCCTCTGCTCGCTGTTCCAGGTCAGGGCCCTGCCGGCATAACTCAGGGGACAAGTTCGGGTTTGAGGTCCGCGTGGAACCCGTGCGGGAGCGGGCGCGAGCAGCAGCCGGGGGACGGCGGCAGGGGAGAGGCGGCGCTGTCTCAGGGGAACTCGGGTCACTCTCCGAGCTAAGCGTCGGGCCCTGTGGCCAGCAGCCTCCCCGGCACTAAACATTCCCATACACGGGAGTGCTCTGCAATTATCTCCTCCCAGGTCGGCGCCGGCCCGGAAAGCCAAGTGCACATTCCAGGGCCCTTTCAGGGTTTCCAAGCCCCCTCCCCAGACCTGTAGCCCAGCCCTCCCAGAGCCCACCGCTCCTTCCCAGGTTCTCCACGGCCCCCTCCCCTGATTCAGGGCTATTTTTGCTCGCGTCCCTTGGCAGTCTCTCCCAGGGCCTCCCCGCCAAGTCTTCCGGGGAGGCACCTGCTGCAAAGGGGCCGCCCGCGCGCGTGCACACGCGCACACAGCACCCACGCCCTCCGTCCCAGCCACCCCAGCCACGCACACTCCCACACCCTCACTCCTGGCAAAGTTAGTCCCGGGCCAGAGGCGGCGGCGGCGTCCCTCACCTTTGGAGAACAGGGCGGCCAGGCTGATAAGCACGGGAGACCAGTGATGCCACGGCGTCCCCATCTCAGACGGGCACATCCCGGAGACCCGAGCGCCGCTCCTCTGCTCCCGGCGCCGTCGGGGCGCAGACCAGCGGGTCGCCAGGCCGGGACCGAGCGGGCTGCACGAGGCGAGCGCGCCTAGGGGCGCGAGCAGCCGCGGGGCCCTGCGCCCTCCGCCCGCCAGCCCATGGCCGGCCGGGCGACGACCGCGCGCGGCTCCGGACTCACTCCCCCGAGGCCGGCGCGCGCCGCAAACCCCACCCCTCGCCCCCGCCGGGCGCCTCGCTCGAGTCCGCGCGGGGTCGGCCCTTCTGCTTGGCGGGCGAGGGGCGCCTCGGGAGCGCGGGAGCCGGCTAGCGCGCGCCGGCGGCGGGGCGGCGGGGCTGCGGCGTCCCGGGCGCGGGCGGCGGCGGCGGCGGCGCGGGGGCCCCCGGCGAGCAGGCCGGGCGCGCGGGGTGGCGCGGGGCGCGCGGGCGCACGGTCCCCATGCCGCCCGCGCCCGAAGTTTGGCGGTGCCGCCCCCGCGCGCCCGTCTCCGGCCCCCGCCCGCGGCCCCGGCGCGCAGAGCGTACGGCCGGCTGGGGAGACGCGGCCCCGGCGCGCGGAGGAGCGCCCGCTGGCTCGGGGACCCGCGCGGTGGCCCCGCTCGACCGAGACCGAGCGCTGTTGTGCCCTGCACGGCTGGGGGGCTTTGCTTTCCGAATTTGTCTTTTTTTGAAAAGCCCCACCCTTTCGGAGTGACAGCCGTGAGCCCCAATCGACGAAGTAAAGCCCACCTCCCCCGGCCAGCCCGCCCCGCCCTCGCCGGCCCCCCCCCCCCATCACCACCCCGCCCCGCGGGCGAGGCTGGGAGGGGCCGCTGGGAGGCCGCTTGGAAACCCGGCGCGAGCGGCCCAACCTAGCTGCCCACCCCCCCACAGGTGGGGAGACGGCTATATGCCTTCCCTTCCCCCCCAAACCTCTGGCCAGTGGACACAAAGGTCGCCGCGGAGGGTCCCTCAGCCCGCACTGGGCTTTCCGGACCAGTTCTGAGCAGGAAGGCCTCGGACACGCCGTCCCGGCCCCCAGCCCGGATCCCGGAATGGCCACCAAGTCAGGGATCCTGAAAGAATTCCATCTTGCCCTCCGCTGGCCCATCCGCATCTGGGGATGGCCCGGTGGAGGGCCAACGTGGCCTTGAGAAGAAAACAGACAAGGTTCTTGGTTTCTACCTTCCTGAATCCCTGATTAAGACAACCCGGGAACCGAGATCACTGAGCAGCGTCCTGCGATTTAAATGCAAGGACTCCTGGGCTCCCTGCGAGCTTTTGAATTAACCAGATCAAAATCCGAGCGAAAGCATCCTGAGTGTTTACAAAATATTGTTAGACGACAGCCGCGAAATCAAAGGAGGTGAGTTTACCCAGGAGGTAAAAATGGGTCATTATCATCTGACTAAGAGAGCGACAGCTGTTTTACTCCAGATGCCCCTGGTTGCAAAAATGTACCAGAGCTTGAACAGTTTTTAGCTTTCAAAGTTTCCAGGAAGATCAGACAAGCAAGTGTGGCTCTGCAAAGGACTGTCTCTCCGGCTTTCACTCTCTCTGAGACCTGCAAGTCTTCTCGATTCTGCATTTACTCTTCTAATGTATGTCCCGTCTTCCTGTTTTTCTTTTGTTTATTTCTTAAACGTGGGCCTCTTCTCTTTGGGGCTCCTATAAAATTGTAGAGAGCTAATGCAGCAGGAGTGAAAGAGATGATGTATGTCAGCACTTCCGGAACTTGAGAAAATATTAACATCCCTCTGGAAGCTTCGGAGCGGCCCTCCCCCCTGCCCAGTGCAGAGCCCACCCGGAACCCTCCAATGAGGCAGGTTTGGATGGTACTTAAAACACTTCATTAACAGGGGCGCCTGGGTGGCTCAGTGGGTTAAGCCTCTGCCTTCAGCTCAGGTCGTGATCTCAGGGTCCTGAGATTGAGCCCCGCATCGGACTCGGCGAGGAGCCTGCTTCCCCTTCCCTCTCTGCCTGACTCTCTGCCTACTTGTGATCTCTCTCTGTCAAATAAATAAATAAAATCTTAAAAAAAACACTTCATTAACAGGCTCCTGGGGAAGGTCACGCATCTTGTCCCAGGACCCCTGCCTCCTTCATTATGTCCTTCACCTCCAAATTGGGGGAAACTGGGGTTTAACCCCCTGCACACCTTCGCCGGGGCTCCCCCTGGTTGGCCCAGAGTCTGTATTAAAGGCCAACTCCAGGCCGCCAGGGTCGGTCTTAATGTGAAACAGAGTTTATTTTTTTGTAGCATTTCCCAAACTTATAGACGAGAATTCGTGTTCCCTGTTCTTTATGGAAAACAATCCCTTTATATTCCTAAATCAAATTAAGATTTTTTTTTCACCCAGAATTGCCGTCATCAGATGCTCCTTTTGGGGGGAGGGGTTGGGGAGGGGTGTCATTGCAGAAGATCTATCTGTGTCCTTAGGATGAAAGCTGGCTGATGGCTTCCAGCTCCTGCCTGGGGTTGTGAACCATTTCCCTATTATGCGTGGCAAAGTTTTTTTTCCTATTCTTTGCTGTGGAAGCTTTGGGGGGAGCTACAACTCCAGAAACCTGATCAGTGGCTAAAATAAAATACAAGAATGGCTTCTCCAGTGTGCTGGTTGAGCGAAGACAACTAATCTTCTTTGGGTAATTAGCACAACTAATCGTTGTGCTGGAGAAGCCCTGAAGAAGCTTCCAGGCCTGCCAGGTCCCAGGCTGCCGCCATGCTTCTGGGACAACATCCCATCTGAAGCTCCTGCTTTGTTTCTCTCCAATTAATTGTAAGGTTACAATTACTTGTATAGTTGCTTTTCTGCAAGAATATGGGTTTCATCTGCAGGGCCATAAATCAATGCATAAGCCTAATTTTGTCAGTAATTAAATAGTACTAATTGTTGTGCTGTGTGGATTATGCTGTTACGTAAGGCACTGTGGGGTCGCTGTCTTTCAAGAAAATACGATGAGGTGCTGGCTTTGTCGGGGGCGGGGGCTGGTAATGGTGGGAAGGAGCCTGCGGGACTTCAGTGTGGAAGGGAATTACGCCAGCGGTGGTGGGGAAGGTGCGTTTAGGTGCTGAAAGATGGGGCCGTATTTCAAACTGGACCTTCTCCTCCAGTTCCTCCAGTGGCATCAGAGAGAAAGGCTCAAACTGCCACAAACTGTTGATAGTTGCAAGTGCCCTTGCTTTTAAAATAGAGGAACTAGGATGCCTGGGTGGCTCAGTCAGTTAAGCAACTGCCTTCCGCTCAGGTCACGATCCTGGGATCCCAGGAACGAGCCCTGCATCGGGCTCCCAGCTCAGCGGGGAGTCTGCTTCTCCCTCTGAACCTCCCCCTCTCATGCTCTCTCTCTGTCTCAAATAAATAAATTAAAATGTTTTAAAAAATAAAATAAAATAGAGGAAACATCTTTCTGTTCAGAGGGAGGCCATCTAACTAGAATGTATTAACGTTGCTGTATTTTTGCTCTGATTATCCATATTTTTACTGTCCCACTTTCCCGTTACCTTGCTGGTATGTTTCCTTTCAAATTCAGTTACGTGAATTTCTGAGGAATAGGTTGACTTGAAGGGGAGCGTAGCCTCGCTAATGGTAAGGTCTATCCGGCCGTCTTCTCTCCATGACAGAGCTCGCGGAGATGGGGAGAACTCGCTCACATGTGGGAAACATTGCATGTGAGCCTCCAGATCACCCCTCCCGCAGGAGCCTTTTTGAAAAAAAACTTTTTTTTCTCCCCTCTCAATCTCCCCAAATTCTTGGAAATAAAAGGCCAGAAACGGCTTGTCTCTTTCAAGAGTGGCGACAGCGTTCCGATCTGGAGTTCAGCGGAGCCGTCAGGAACACCTCTGCCCTCACTGGGGAGGCTGATCCCTCCAGCAAGATTGTCTCCTGTGGCCGCCAGGAAGTGTCCTTGAGGAGGGCGCTACTCCTGTTTTCGGGGACCTGTCATTCTGTCCTGGAGACAGGCACGAGTGCGCTTCTCAGTCCCCTAGAAGGTGACCGATGGAAGATGAGCAGAGGTGATGAGGGTCCCTTCCAGGATGAGGCCACGGAGAGCCCCCTTGTTGCTCTGTGGTCTGTAGGTCGCCCACCAGGAGGCTGGAGGAGACCGTGGGTTTGAGAAGATGCCGCTGCCGGAAGGAGGGGAGTCCCCATCCGCCGGCCCAGCAGGTCCGGGTGGGGGGCAGAGCCCCTGCCAACCCACACAGGACTCCCAGCAGGAGGCACAGATGATGACCATGTTAGGTCACTGCACCTGCGGACTCTTCTGGGTCACCTTCCTCATATCTAGACTGTTCCTCCCCCCCCACCACCACTCCGTCCTTTCTTGCTCATGTCCTTGGGCTCCATAAGCAAACGTTAAGAACCCAGGCTCTCAGCCTCCCAGGTAACCCAGGGCATCTCCGGATGACCCCTCGGTGGGCCTAAAGGGACCCCACTTGCCTGACTTTACTGATGTATGGATCCGCACCAAAGTTCAACAGACCCTACGGGGTCCTCTCTGAAGCTGAAAGCCACACTCTCGGGTGAACCCTGCATTCCCTCCTCTAGCCTGCTCAGCCTCTGCAGAAGGTGAGGGACCCAGGAGGCTCGGGGAGAAGCTGCAGAAAGTTCTCCTGGGCTTTCTGTACACGTGTCTTTCCCTGGAGCCTGGGACGGGGCGGCTTGCTGTCGCTCGCTCGCACCTCCTCTCCCTGCAAGATGCACAGCCAGACGGGATCCCCTGGCCTAGCAGGGGGAAGTGTGGTCCTCACGGGCGGGGTCCTCAGTGGAGAGGGGTTTCTGCGGATCCCCAACTGCACACGATGCGTATCTATGACATGCCTGTCATGGGCCGGGCCCTGGAGATCTAGCCAGGAGACCCACTACCATGGAGCCTGTATTCTCATGGGGACAAACAGACAGCGACCGAGCAAAAAACGTGATGCTTTTAGAAATACCCACGAAGAAACCCGGACGGGATCCTGTTTACCTTGAGAGAGGGCTGGCAAGGTGTCTCGGGGAAGATGGCC